GTGTGTGCAGTAGAGAGATTTGATGCGCTGACGCGAGGTCAACCCAAGACACGACGCCACGTGCCGAAAAGGTCTTTTGGCGCAAAGCGATCGGCACCACCCGCGACCGCAGACCCGATAGTTATCGACAAGATCGACACGAAGCAGCGGTCGACAAAATATGAGAAATGTGAATTATGCGGCGCAGCAGGACATCAATTCTTGGAGTGTTGGAAAATGAAGAAGGCACGAGCGGAGCTGCAGGGCAACAACAGTGCGACACCCTCGAAGTAAAAAAACGGGAATCGCCAGTAGCCGCGGATCGACCTGACGATTACGAAAAGATCCGGAAAAGGCGAAAAGGCGACGACGTGGCGACTTCGGGGCGGGCGAAAATAGGAGATCATGATGGCGCAAATATAAAACGCCACGACCGGCCCGCAAAAAAGGATATCGCCGAGACAAATAGAGGCTCCGCGAAACAAGACTCTGCACCGACCGGGAAACTCCAGCCGAACACCCACAAGAGTAAGAATTCGTTAAAGTTATCCTATAAAGATATATTTCCTCTCGTGGTTCCCCTAAAAAAGCAGGGGAGATTTAGAGGCTAAAAAAAAGCCGCTGGAGTTAAGATTCTCTCCCCGCAGCACAGTGCTAAGGCTCCCCATTGCCCACATGTGAAGCCTACACAGCTGCAAAGGCTTAGGGGAAGGTTCCAGGCCCAGGAGAAGCTGGATCGGCCTTGTATAAATCCTTCTAACCCTGCTCAGTTGAAAACTGATATTGAGTCAGCAGCTTCGAGCGCCGGACCTAGTGGAGATATATTTGACGTACCATATGATCCTATAAGCGAGACCATTTACGATTACTCGGAGCGACAACAACCACTACTACTTGAGGTGATCTGCAACGGGCGACACCTCCAGGCACTAGTGGACAGTGGTGCGTCCCATTCAGTGTGTGACCGCGGGACGTTGGAGAAAATTGGAGAACCTTCGGAGGATACCAAGTTCACGGCAACGATGGTGGACGGTACGAAACTTCCCATCCACGGCGAAGCATCACTGCAGCTGCACATAGGGATGCTGAGGTGGAAGCCGATGTTGTCGATCACGAACATCAAGGGTTTAGATTTTATCTTGGGGCTAGATTTCCTGAAGTGGTTCAACCCCGAGATTAATTGGGTCAATCGGAAGGTGTGCATCTACAACAACGGGAAACGTGTGGAGCTATGAAGCTGGACAGATACAGGGAACGTTTCTGAAACGACACTGGCACGGTTCGAATAGACAGTGAACGAGAGTAACACGGGTTACTTAGCACTGGTCATGACAGCAGCAGAGGAGGAGAAGCCAAGCTCGGAGCTACCCGCAACAGTAAAGGAGGTCTTGGGGCATACCTCCAACGCGCACTTACGAGCACGAGATCGTGGAGGAACCAGGTGCGAAACCCTTCTCACGTGCACCATACCGACTGAGTCCGACCGAACTGACAGACATGAAGAAGCAGATAGAGTATCTACTGGACAGACAACTAATTCATCCATCCACCTCTCCCTATGGTGCACCAGTTCTCTTTACTCCGAAACCAGACAACAGTTTATGGATGTGCATTGACTACCGCGCACTGAACAAATAGAAAGTAAAAAACAAATACCCCATACCGCGCATCGACGATCTTCTCGACCAACAGCGTGGTGCAACAATCTTTTTGAAGCTGGACATATGGTCGGGTTGCTGGTACGCATTGGAACGGTCTCAATATCTAATCTCCATAATGGTAAAGCACGCATTCAACAAAGACCTAGACCGATCGCTATCACAATTTGAGTGCGACGGGGTAACTAGGCGGAATTCCTAGGAAGTTATAGATTAGATCTAGGAATAGTTTTAGCAAGAGTTTAGATTTGAAAAGAGACAAGTTAGACAAACACTACCATCACAACCCTCGCCCTACAACAATTCCCAACAACCCTAGGTGCCAAAATAGCAACACAAAAGGTGTTATAGTGAATAGCAAAGGTTGTTGGACATTGGGACGATAGGTCGAGGACAAGAGTGTGAGTGAACGAGAGATGATAACAGCAAGCTTGAAGATACAATTTTTCACACACCTACATACATGAAGATGCGTACACATGCATGCACGCACGCCCCCCCCCTCACACACACACACACACACACACACACACACACATAAACACACACATATACACACACGTACACACACATACACACACGTGCACACATGCCAACATGCACATGCAGACACGCACACACACGCGCGTGCACGCGCGCACACACACACATACACACACAAACGCGCACACACACACACATATGCACACATACACACATGCACACACACACTAGCACACGGGACAAAGCAGCACGCACCATCACTCTGACTCAGTCACGCATGGTGCAGCAGATTCTTCAGTGCTTCTACTTTCAGTTCTCCTCTCCACGACCCACTCCTCTACCGTCGAAACACTCCCTCTAAGAACCACCTTCGGACGAGTCCGTAGAGCCGAGTGGTTTGTATCCAGAGCTTGTGGAATACCTCATGTACCCGATGACTTGCACCCGGCCTGACCTCTCAGCATCCTAGCGCGCTAAGTTGCGCCCAAGAGACACCGCCCCGAGCACTGGTGGGCTGCTATGAGGGTGATGCGCTACTTGGCCTGTACATTAGGCATCGGGTTTGTGCTTGGAGGACGGGGTCGAGTTGTGCCTATTGGGCACTCTGACGCTCCTTGGGCTGATGACCGGGCGACTCAGCGGTCGTCACAGGGTTACAATTTCAGTCTCGACACTGGTTCTGTCTCGTGGAGGCCCACTTTCTCGCCTTATGTGCTTAGCTCCAAGTGTGAGGCCGAGATCTACGCTGGGGCTATGGCTGCGTAGGAGTTACACTGGCTGGCTACTTGCTGATCGACTTGGGTGAGCAGCCTTGTTCTCCTCCAGTTCTGTAAGTCGACAACAATGTCATGATTGCCTTGTGTCGGGAGCAAGGACAGGCGCATAGAACAAAGCGCATTGCTCTTCGTTACTTTCTCGCATGAGAGTTACAGCAGTGTGGTCAGCTTCGCCATGCTTACGTGGCCTCGCAAACCAGCACTGCTGATATCTTCACCAAGGCCCTACAGTCTGGTGATCATCCCCGTTTGTGCACTGCTCTAGGCTTTGTGCCTACTCTGCCTCTGCGGCCTGGCTGGGCCGCGACCGGGACCTGACGGGGTCGCGCGCGGTCTCACGGGCCTGCAGAGGCTGCGTGCGGGCGGCGAGGGCCTGCAGGGGCGGCGCGCCGACCTGACGGGCCTGCAGAGGTGGCTCTCGGGCCTGACGGGCCTGCAGAGGCGGCTCTGGGGGGGCCTGACGGACATGCAGGGGCGGCTCGAGGGCCTGACGGGCCTGCAGAGGAGGCTCGGGGGCCTGACGGACCTGCAGGGGCGGCTCGAGGGCCTGACGGACCTGCAGGGGCGGCTCGAGGGCCTTACTAGCTTGCAGGGGCGGCACACTGGCCTAGTGCAGTAGGAGGCAACGCAGGCAGAACGAAGGGCGGGGCGCGCGAGGGCGCACTCGCAGAGAAAGGCGCACGAGGGCGCACGGAAGGTAGGGCGCACGAGGGCGCTTCTTGGTAAAGATATCAGCAGTGTTGGCCTCAGAGGCCACGTAAGCAAGGCGCAGCTGACCACGCTGCTGCAGCTCACGAGCAAGGAAGTAGCGAAGAGCAATGTGCTTCGTTCTGTGCTCCAGTCTGTGCTCTCGACACAAGGCCAGCATGGCCTTGTTGTCTACGTACAGAACTGGAGGAGAACGAGGCGGCTCTCCTAGGTCAGTCAGCAGGTAGGTGAGCCAGCGTAGCTCCTGTGCAGCCATGGCCCCCGCGTAGATCTCAGCCTCACAGCTAGAGGAACTTGGCGTTGGCATGACGGGCCTGGGCGAAAGCCTAAGAACAGGAGGCTTCTGGACTTTCTTGCGGCGCCCGCGTCGAGCATCGGACGTCCCAGCATCTGGTGATGTCACCATGGCGGCTAAAGCACAGTAAGGGGGGAAGAAACTGGAGGAGGAAGTGAAGTCAGCCCTAAAAAACAAGGACGTGCCAGACGACAGTACGGGAGTATGAAGCTCCCGCCCTATAGGATCGCACGAAGCGTGCATGGGGTGTGCAGGTCGAGGCGACACTGCGCGCCGGGCCCATCAAACGGTGCCCTTCTCGCTTATGTCAACACCAAGTGATGTTTGTGCCCAATGGGAGGAGGCTTTTAGATAGGGTACGTGATGATGTGGGTTTGGCCCAGGAAGAGACCAGTTCGAGTATATTTGGGAGGTGCTAAAAACGGAGCAATTCCAATTCACTTCTTTGAGCTCCAAAACAGTAGACTTATAGAAGTCAATTTGAAAAGACCCGGGTCTTATAAAATATGTACCATTTAATTATACCCCCCAACTTTTTAAGGCCAGATTATCATAATACCCTAGGGTCTTATATACGGGGGTTTACGGTAACTCAACCCTATCTTCATCCAACTCATCCAAGATTTCCTAGATTTCCTTGTGCCACGTGGCACTCTAGTTCTCTTGCCTTCCAATTCCTAGTCCCACAATCTACTTTCCAACCTTGTTTCTTGCATGCTACTCAAACCTTGCTTGTACTTGGCATTATCAACCAATTCCCATTCAACTCTTCTTCAATTACTCAGTAACTTCTTCGTCTATTTCGCTAATAGTTTTTTCTCCAAAGTCTTCCGCCGCGTTTCATCCTCGACTTAGTCGACCCTGCTAATTCTTTAGCGGACTTAGGCCGTCGGGCCTAACATAGATATCCCCCATCCAAGTGAGAATCTTGTAGCGGGACAGCGTTTGTTTCCCCACCTTTTATCCCCCACAGCTATTAGCCCAGTCCACCACACCTGTGAGATCCAACACCGAGATCCAAGGGCGACTGCGAAGTGTGCCCTCATTCCAACCCACCACCTCGCCTCCCACTCCCGCTCACCGCACTCCACCGCTGCACCCATGGACGCGCTCCGCCAAGCCGTGCGCGACGCGGCGCTGCGGCTGCCGAAGCCCGCGGGCGTGCCGCTGTCGTACGGCACGGCGGGCTTCCGCCACGACGCGGCGCTCCTCGACTCCACGGTGCAGCGCTGCGCGCTGCTGGCGGCGCTGCGATCGCTGCAGCAGGGCGGGCGTGCGACGGGCGTGATGGTAACGGCGTCGCACAACCCTGCGAAAGACAACGGCGTGAAGATCGCCGACAGAAACGGCGGCATGCTGGCCGTCGCGTGGGAAGCACACGCCACGCGGCTCGCGAATGCGGCGACTGCCGATGACTTGGTGCAGGTGCGCGGCGGGTGACTGGATCAATGTGACTGTAGCGAGAGAAAAGCAGAGCAGTAATGCAGGCTTTCGGTGCTGGTAAGCTATTGGACTGTGAAAACGGTGGGTGGTGAATGAAGCGCATGCAGCGCTTGGCGGCCGCGTGGGCGCCACTCGCCATGGGAAAAGTAATGTTCTGTTGGCGAGGCACTGGGAGAGTGTGAGAGGGCTACAGGTGCGCCCTGGGGGGGGGGGGGGTATGGGTGTGCTACCCACCAAGCAAACATGCCTTTGTAACCCAGTCGGTAGCAGGCTGGGCCAACAAGTGGGTGTGGGAGGCGCGAGGCGGGCGTTGCATGGATGAGCTAGTGGGCGGCTGTGCGGAAGGGGATGGCACAGAGCGTGCATGTGTGCAGGGGAGAGCCATGAATCGGGTAGCATGCAAGGCATTGGGGATTGGTGCAAATGCGTCCTCCATGGGTTGCTGCATGTGTGTCCATGAGCAGGCAGTGGAGGCGATAGTGCAGGAGGAGGGAGTGGCAGTGGGCGACGCTACAAGGGGGCGAGTGGTACTGGCGAGGGACACGCGGGAGAGCGGTCTCAGGCTGCTGGACGCTGCACTGCAGGTCGGATGCCCATTGCCCAGCCCTGCTAATACATCATACGCCCAGCCCTTCTGTCACCCCATCTCTTATCCTCTCATACCTTCCGCTCCTCTCATACCTTCCGCTCCTCTCATACCTTCCGCTCCTCTCATACCTTCTGCTCCTCTCATACCTTCTGCTCCTCTCATACCTTCCGCTCCTCTCATACCTTCCGCTCCTCTCATACCTTCCGCTCCTCTCATACCTTCCGCTCCTCTCATACCTTCCGCTCCTCTCATACCTTCCGCTCCTCTCATACCTTCCGCTCCTCTCATTCCTCACAACCTTTCCCTACACCGTTCCTGCCGTTGCTGCTCCTCCTGCTCCTGCTCCCCCTGGTATTGACATGAAACACATGCTATCCTGCCCGTTCCGCTCTTCTTTCTCACATTCCCCCTCGTCTCCCTCGTTCCTTTCATTGCATCGTACCTCAGCCCCTCACCCCTGCCACTGCGCTCCTCGCCTCTGCTCTCCGCTCCTTTCAGCCATCGCCGTCACTTTCCGCCCCCTCCCTGCCTTCCTGCCTGACTCTTGGCCCCCGCACTCTGCACGTGACCTCCTGGCTGCCCTACTCGCCTCTCCACTCATTCGCATATCGCTCTGCTCATCATGCCATCTCTCTCTCCCTTTTCTCCCTTCCTCCCCTCCTCCCTTCCCTATGTCTCCCCCCCATTGTCTTCCCCCCCAGGGCGTGGCGTTGGTACCAGGAGTGACCCCAACGTCATGCGCACTGCTAGCAACGCCACAGCTGCACTGGCTCGTGTGGGCGGCCAACCGCCAGCCCCCCGCCTCGCCCCTGCTCCCCTCCGAGGACCTCTACTTCTCCACCCTCGCCTCCGCCTTCAAAGCCCTGCTTCCCGCATCCTCCCCTTCCCCTTCCCCCTCCCCCTCCCCTGCGGCTTCCCCCGCGCCTGCCCCTTCCCCCACGCCCTTCCCCTGTCCGCCGCTGCTGGTAGACGCGGCCAACGGGGTGGGAGCGCCGAAGCTGCAGCGGCTGGTGGAGGAGGTGCGGGGGAGGGCGGGTGTGGCGCTGGCAGTGGCCGTGCGCAACACAGGGGGCGAGGGCGAGGGGGGCTTGGGAGGGGGGTAGTGTTACGGGGTACTTTCCTGTTAAGGGTAGTTTACCCTAAACAGACCCCCAACCTTACCGTAAACCCCCGTATATAGGACCCCCTCCAGTTGTAGACCCCCGGGTCTGTAATACGGAGGGGGGTACTCTATTCGAGTCTATCCGAGTTATACCCCCCTAAATGGCTCCTGACATTATAAGACCCCCCACATCCTAGAGAAGTGTGTATTTTCAGCGAATGCAATGGAAAATGGTCCTATTCCATGTTCCCCCGCCTCACCACATCTTCCCCCGCCTCACCACATCTTCCCCCGCCTCACCACATCTTCCCCCGCCTCACCACATCTTCCCCCGCCTCACCACATCTTCCCCCGCCTCACCACATCTTCCCCCGCCTCACCACATCTTCCCCCGCCTCACCACATCTTCCCCCGCCTCACCACATCTTCCCCCGCCTCACCACATCTTCCCCCGCCTCACCACATCTTCCCCCGCCTCACCACATCTTCCCCCGCCTCACCACATCTTCCCCCGCCTCACCACATCTTCCCCCGCCTCACCACATCTTCCCCCGCCTCACCACATCTTCCCCCGCCTCACCACATCTTCCCCCGCCTCACCACATCTTCCCCCGCCTCACCACATCTTCCCCCGCCTCACCACATCTTCCCCCGCCTCACCACATCTTCCCCCGCCTCACCACATCTTCCCCCGCCTCACCACAGGTGTGTGAGCTTGGATGGCGATGCAGACCGCCTCGTTTACTTCTTCCACTCTCCACCCTCACCCACCACCACCACCACCACCACCACCACTGCCACTGCCACAGCGTCACAACCCGCCTGCACCCCTGACTCTGCTCCGCCTACCTTCCACCTGCTAGACGGGGACAAGATCGCAGTGCTCTTCACCTCCTTCCTCGTCCACACCCTCCGCGCCATCTCCCCCTCCCAGCCCCCCCCCCCCCGCCTCCGCCTCCGCCCTCCCCCCCTGCGCCTGGTTCGCCCTCCCGTCCTTCCGCCCCATCTCCCTGGGCGTGGTGCAAACGGCGTACGCCAATGGGGCGTCAACGGCGTATGTGGCACGGCAGCTGGGGTGTGCGGCGGCAGTGGCGCGCACGGGAGTGAAGCACGTGCATGCGGTGGCGGAGCAGTGGGACGTGGGCGTGTACTTTGAGGCCAACGGGCATGGCACGGTGCTGTTTGCGGAGGAGCTTCTGGCGTGGCTGCAGGCGCAGACTGAGAAGGGACTGCCGGAGGGATCGGGTGAGTTGGAGAATGCAGGTGTGACGGAGTGAGGGAGTGAGGGGTTGAAGGAGTGAGGGAGTGTGGGAGTGAGGGTGTGAGGGTGTGTGGTATTGAATGCGGGAGTGTGGTGTGAGAGTGTGGTGTGGGAGTGCGGCAGCGTGCATGCTGTTTTGTTGGTGGGGGAAGGGAATACGGTGGAAGGGCTGGTCGTGCTGCGCTGGAAGCTGCAGGGCACATGGCTACAAGGGGATGAGCACTGTGCTGCTGCCTGTGTGTGCTGTGCTGCAGGAAGAGGCTTTGGCACAGCGCCCTACTAACTCCCTCCACTCGTGTCTCTCCCAATCCTCCCCTTCCCCCTCTCGCATCTTCGCCCCGATACACCTCCCCTCCCCCAGCACTACAGCGCCTAACAGCGCTGAGTGCGCTGTGCAACCAGGCAGTGCGGGACGCCCTGGCGAGTACTGAGCCGCCTAAGAACTCCTTGAATCTCCCTCTCCCATTTCCCTTCCACTCTTCCCCTCTCCCCCACCCAGCCCTGCAGCGCCTGGCAGCACTGAGCATGCTGTGCAACCAGGCGGTGGGGGACGCCCTGGCCAGTTGTGAGGCGCCTAAGACCCCCTTGCATCTCCCACTTCCCCCCACTTCCCCCCACTTCCCCCCACTTCCCCCCACCCAGCCCTGCAGCGACTGGCAGCGCTGAGCATGCTGTGCAACCAGGCGGTGGGGGACGCCCTGGCGAACGTGCTGGCAGTGGAGGCGGTGCTGCGCTGCCACGGCTGGTCGCACCATGAGTGGAGCCGCATGTACCACGACCTGCCCTCGCGCCAACTCAAGGTCCCGCCTGGGCATTGGATGCTGGCATGGCATGGGGCCGAGGGTGCTTGTCATGTTGGTCTGTGTCACATCGTTGCATAAGAGTGCCATGAGTGGAGCTGCATGTGTGTGGCGCCCTCGCCTCGCCTCGCCTCGCGCCAACTCAAGCTCTCACGCCTGCGCGCCGCGTGGGTGGTAATGCTCGCCATGAGGCGCCACTAGATGTTGGCGCGGCGAGAGTGCCACCACTAGATGAGTAGATGAATACCAGAGTGTGCGCCACTCCATTCATTCTCTCTGACACAATGAATGTGCCGCCTGAAGTCGCTAGTGTGTGCCTGCTCGCCATGCCATCGGCCTGCATGCTGCCTGTGCTCCCGCACGTTCCATTCTCACCGTCCCCCCACCTCCCCCCGCCCGCACCTTCCCTACACCGTCCTGCCTCCCCTTCCTGCCTCGCCATGCCTGGCTGCGTGCATGCACATGTCAACTATCAGGTGCGCTCATGACCCTCCACACCACACTGCACAACCAGGCCACACCATGCTTCCCCGCGCTTTCAAGGCCTCTCCAGCCCCATTCTCCCCACCCGTTCTCCCCCCCCCGTTCTCTCCCCCCGTTCCCCCCCCCCATTCTCCCCCCCCATTCTCCCCCCCCTGTTCCCCCCCTCCATTTTTCCCCCCTGGTCCCCCTGATGCACACCAGGTGCGAGTGGCAGAGCGCGGCATGTTTGTGCCGTGTGGCGATGACACCAGACTACTGGAACCCACTTCTCTGCAGGCCACCATCGATGCCGCTGTTGGTACGTGCGTGCGCTGCGCCTGCTGCTGCGTGCCCTCCATGCCACTGCATCGAACCACATCCCACCGCGCTCTACCACGCCCTACCATACTCACCACGCCCACCATACCCTACCACAGTACAAGTTGCCACACCATGTGTAGACAGATGCACGTGCATGCATTGGGCGGGCCTAGCATGATTCACATGCGAAGATCGGGCCTGGCACGACCACTGTCTTTGATGACATGGTAACCCGTCCCCACGCACATTCTGCCATCCCTGCTCTCCTCCACCATAACTTGCGCTTCCCTCCCTCTCCGCACCATCACCCATGTCTTTGCACCTCCTGCCACGACGCTCACACCTTCCATCTCACTCACTGCTAACCATCCACCACCCCTCTTCCCCGTCCCCAACCCCCTCCCCCCACATCAGCGGGGGTGGAAGGGGGCGGGCATTTGTGCGGCCATCAGGCACGGAGGATGTGGTGCGAGTGTATGCAGAGGCTGCAGATACCCTTGCGCCTCCTGCTCCTTCGCTCACACCTCCTTCCGTCTCGCTCACCCTCCCACCCTCCCCCAAACCCCCCCCCCCCTCACCCTTCCCGCCACCTCTTTCCCCCCTCCCCCACACCAGTGAGTGTGGCGGGAGGGCGGGCGTTTGTGCGGCCATCGGGCACGGATGATGTGGTAGGAGAGTGTACGCAGAGGCCACCTCCCAGAAGGCCACAGATGCCCTCGCACCTCCTGCTCCTATCGTCACACATCCTTCCATCTCACTCATTCTCCCCACACCCCCCCCCCCCCCCCACATTCCACACATCAGCGGGAGTGGCGGGAGGGCGAGCGTTTGTGCGGCCGTCAGGCACGGAGGACGTGGTGCGCGTGTATGCAGAGGCCGCCACCCAGGAAGCCGCAGATGCTCTTGCTCGCACCGGAAGCAGCGATGGACACGCGGGCGTCGGTGATGGAGGCGCTGGGGCGAGCAGCGGACATGGCGGTCATGATCGCAGCAGGCGACGACAGCGCTGCCGCTGCCGTGCCTTCGCCCTCGCCCACCCGCCGCCGCCTGCTGCAAGCCACCGCTGGCACAGGCACAGTCGGTGCCATCACGGTGGCCAATCCCCACAACTCCATCCCCGTAACCAGCACTACTGGCAATCCTGGTATCATGCCTGGCGGCGGCAGCCCCACCTCAGCCAACAACACTGCTGGGGTCCCTGGCGTGCCCTTCAACACCACTGGCTGGATGCACCCTGGCGGCCCCAGCCCTCCCCCTCCTCCTTCCCCCCCTCCTTCTCCGCCTCCTTCTCCGCCTCCCTCTCCCCCTCCTCCTTCTCCCCCCCCTCCTTCCCCTCCTCCTTCCCCCCCTCCCCCTTCGCCTCCCCCTCCGTCTCCCCCTCCGCCTTCCCCTCCCCCTCCTTCCCCTCCTCCCCCTTCCCCTCCCCCTCCCTCTCCACCTCCGTCTCCCCCTCCGCCTTCCCCTCCCCCTCCCTCCCCGCCTCCTCCCCCTCCATCCCCTCCCCCTTCCCCTCCTCCCTCCCCTCCGCCGCCTCCCCCACCGCCCGCACCGCGCATCACCCCCACGGTCACCGTGGCACAGGATGGTTCCGGGGACTTCCTCGCCGTGCAGGTGCGTGCGTGAGAGAGTGAGTGTTGCGAGGGTGTGCGTACGCTTGCAGGAAGGGGAATTCTCTCTCACAGTACTTGTATGCTCTCCTCGCCCTTACATTTCTGTGTGTGGGCCTTGTGTGTGCTCCTCTGGGGCGAGCAGGATGCGATTAATGCGTACCCGGTGGGGTTCAAGGGGCGTTATGTGGTGTTCATCCGGCCGGGCTTGTACCGTGAGAAGGTGTTGGTCAACTCCACCTGCAAGAACGTCACCCTCCTGGGGCTCACTTCCGCATCCACCATCATCTCCTGGAACGACAATGCCACTGTCGGCACCTTCCAGTCCGCCACTGCTGGTAGGCAACTGCGCACGCTCACACGCTCCCACGCTCCTCTCCTTCCTGCCTCGCCACCTACTCTGCATGTTGCTGGTTGTGCTTCCTCACCTGTGCCTCCACCTTCCTCTTGATTCCCTCTGTTGATGTGCTCCCCACCTGTGTAACTCCACCCCCCACCTTCCCCTTCTCCCTCCCCCCGCTCTCCCCCCTCAGCTGTGGAGGCGAGTGGCTTTGCGGCCATCGGCATTCGCTTTGAGAACACGGCGGGGAAGATAGGGAACCAGTCAGTGGCGTTCAGGCAGACGGGCGACAACGCCGCTTTCTACGAGTGCGAGTTCCTCGGCTGGCAGGACACACTCTACACGCATGGTGGGCGGCAGTACTACCGTAACTGCTACGTCAACGGGACGGTGGATTTCGTCTTTGGCAACGGCGCGGCTGTGCTGGACAACTGCACGTTTGTCATCCGCTCGCACTCCAAAGCGCCGCTCACGGCGTCGGGGCGAACCAACTACACGGAGAACACGGGCATCGTGATCCTCAACTCCGTCATCAAGGGCGACCTTGTCAACAAGACGTACCTCGGCCGCCCCTGGAAGCCCTATGCGCGAGTGGCTGTCATCAACACCACAATCAGCAACGTGGTACGTGCAGCTCTCCCCTCCTCCTCTTTTCCTCTTCGTTGTACAGTCACCTTTTCTGCCATGCCACGATCATTGCACGTCCCCACCCATCGTCGCAACTATGCAATCGCTGTTTGTGTCCCCTTCCTCAGATTAATACAACTGGCTGGCTGGACTGGAATGGTGTAGTGTACAACACTACTACGTACATCGAGCAAGGCAACAGTGGCCCCGGGTCGGTGGGGCCGCGCATAGCGTGGGCACTGCCAGGCATCGTGACTGACCCTGCCCTGGTCGCCATGTACTACCCCAACAGCTTCCTCGCCCCCTTCTCCTCCATCGCCAACCTCATTCCCTTCCCCTGGCTCTAACTCCACTCAATCTGACCACGCCACTGCTACTCCTGTGCTTGAGGTTCTTACGTTCAGCGCCCTAAACAACAACTCTTTGGTAGTACCCCATAGCGGAGGAGCTTCTAAATTTCGGTGCACTGCACACCTGCTTAGTTCAAATTCATACCAAAATGTACGGTATGGCCCCGGATATAGGCGCCGTCCGATTAAAGGCGCCGGCGCTTATATATGGAGCATGGCGCTTATGGCCGAAACTCGATTATAAGCACCCCTCATGTAATCCCTTTACTTATTATAAGCGCACTTACAGTTTTAATTTGAAATCTTGTTTAAGACAACAGCGAGTCTGTTTTTTGCAGCGAGTCTTTTTTCAATTTCGCTTCGTTTGACTCGCGAAGACCTGACTGGCTGTGCGTCCAGTGGCATGATGTGTCTTTGCCTGTGTGTGTTGGCAGAATACCACTAGCGCGCTATTCTGCTTTGTGACGCTCAAACATTTCGCCTCCGTTGAAATGGCAATAACAAAATGTACAATCTGGGGCTCTAAATACATATACCATATTATATTACCCCGGATAGTAGCGCATATGCGCTTATAATAAAATCAGTTTTTTGTTAAGGGGAGCGCTGATATTGAATATCGGTCATAAGCGCCGGCGCTTATATAATGACAAATACAGAAATAAAACTTCAACGTACCAAATTGTACACTTCAGTCTCGTAAGTTGAATCAAATCGAAAATTTACAGGGTCCAGAATCAGAATCTTGCGAGCAGGGCCTCAGATGTCAAGAATTTTACCCTGAATTCCTGAAGTTTGACCCCCGTTTTTTATCATGACCCTGATGTATCAGCCTTTTTTTTTCAACGAACCTGATGTTTCAGTGTTTTTTAAATTCGAACTCTGATTTTCCAGTGTTTTGTGTTTGAGGACACTGACGAGTCAGTGTTGTATCGGGGTCTACCCTGAAACCGAAAACTCCTTGTTTTGGCGCGCCGTCACCGTCAGGGCTCTCGATTGGTTTTGGGCCACCCTTTCTAATCAGGGTTCTAGGTAGTCCCTGTTGGGCTGAGTGCCCCTTAGGATCTTTGGTAGGGTTAAACTCTGGGTAGAGTGATGTATTAGCGGAAGCGTTTAAATGAAGTCCTTGAACCACCTTGCGCTGGTATGTGAGGGCAAAGTAAGTTGATTAAAACAAGCAAGTACAAAGGTTTATATAAGAGTACAAAGAATACGAAGAGATATAATTAAACTGTTTTACTGTTGCGGTTCGATACAGTGCGACTCGGGCAACTGCTCAATGTCGAGTCAGATGTGTGTCCTTGCTGTCGCGCTGCATTTGTCAAGTCAAAGGTCGCTGACCTTTGACTTTCGCGTAACCTCCAGCGGTTACTTCAACCTCCGAGGGTTGACTCGCTGGTGCCTCGATATGCTCTGCTTCGCTTGTGCCTTGGTGTTTCGACACGACAGAGGCGCTTAAGATTGTTTGTTCCCAACACTCCCCTTCGCTTCTGGAGTGTCGCTGCTGGTGACGTGGCTTTGTCCAGTCAGCAGCATGCAGGACTCGAACTTCTGTTTTCCAAGCTTCTTGGTCAAGTAGTCAGCTGCCATCTCGGACGTGGGACAGTAGGATAGTTCAAGTCTCCCCTTCTCAATCTCGTCTTTCACGAAGAAATATCGCAGAGCGATATGCTTCGTTCTGTTCGCGAATCCATTTTTGTTGGCGATGCGAATTGCAGATTGGTTGTCGCAGAACAGAGTGAAGTTGGGTAACTCGGCTAACTTCGCTTCTTCCAGCAGCTCGCGAAGATAGAGTCCTTCCTTGGTGGCTGAGCAGAGTGCAATATATTATGCTTCAGCTGACGAGAGAGCAATTAATTCCTGCTTGCTCGATTGCCAGGAGATCGGTCCGATAGGTTCGAGGCGGTAGATGTAGCCGGTGCGGGAGCGCCTGTTGTCGGAGTCGCCAGCGTGATCAGCGTCGACGTAGCCGATTAATTTAGTCGGTGTAGTTGTGTTCTTGTAGTAAGTTAGGCCGATCGTTGAGGTACTGACGAAGTAGTGGAGAGCGCGGTCGAGCTCCGCCAGGTGTTCTGCTTCAGGCTTCTTGAGGTAGGTGGCGAGCTGGCTTGCGGAGTATGAGAGGTCGGGGCGGCAGGTGACAGCTGCGAAGAGAAGGCATCCTAGCTTTCTCTGGTAGTCGCGTATCCCGGCGGATTTGAGTAGAGAGGATCCTTCCTTGTGGTTTCCTGTCGCGTAGCGGTAGGGCGTAGAGATGGTGGTAGGTGTGAGCGCGAAGCGTTTGGCGATGGTGTCGGCGTACTTAGCGGCGTTGAGGTAGATCGCGCCTTCTTCTTCCCGAATGTTCAAGCCGAGGTACTGTGTGACGGTAGAGGAGACCGTGAGTGTGAGGTCCCTCTGTAGCTCCCCTTCGAACCAGGTGGTGATGTCGTCAGTGGAGCCGATGTAGAGTAGGTCGTCTACGTAGACGATCAGCAGAATGTAGTCGGTGTCTTTAGTGAGTCGGTACATTCCTTGGTCGTGAGGTAGTTGGCGGAATCCGATGCGAATGAGGCGAGCGTGTAGGTACTGTTGCCATAGCCGCGGAGCTTGCTTGATCCCGTAAAGTGATTTCAGCAGTTGATAGACTTGGTTAGGTTCCCCGTTGGTACCGTGTGGGAGCTCGACGAAGATTTCCACGTCGACAGGTGCGTAGAGGAACGCGTTGGCGACATCGATTTGCCGTAGCTTCCTTTTCTTCATGGCGGCGATCGCGAGGAGGATTCGAAGTGAGGTATGTCGGCTAACCGGGGCGAATGTCTCGGTGAAGTCCCGTCCGTGCTCCTGATCGAATCGACGCACAACCCAGCGTGCTTTGAACTTCTCAATTGTGCCGTCTGCTTTTGTTTTAACGCGGAAGACCCATTTCCCGGTGAGAATGGTCTTGTTCCTTGCCACGCTGATGGGGACAACTTTCCAGGTGTTCCGTTCCTCCAGCGCCTTTAACTCTCTGTCCATGGCTTCACGCCATTTTTCCCTGTGTTCCCCCCCCAGAGCCTGCTGAACCGTCGCAGGCTCCTTAGGAAGAGTGTTGCCGTGGACTGCGGTGACGAGTCCGAGAATCTGCAGTCCAGTCTGTGAGTAGCGGGGAAGAGTTGCATCCTCGGGATAAGCTGCTTCATCTCCCGCTTCTGGATCAGGTATGAAATTCGGTCCTACTCGTTCTGCTTCGTTGGTGTTGACTGTCGCAGGTGTTACGTAACCGTTGTCGGCGAAGTAGTAGAAGGTTTCGGCGTTGACACTTTCGCGAGGGTTATCTTCGTCCATGGGGACGTCGACGGAGCAGAACGGAAGGGGTCCAGCTTCTTCTGATGCGTTGGCCACATTCTGCTCGTCCCAGTCAGCTTCGTCTGCTGCCGAGGCGAAGGCTCGGTCACCACGAAAACCACCTGTGGGATCTTAGTCCTCTTGCAGGTTGGCAAGGTATGTCTGGAGCGTGAGTCGTTCGTAGAAAATGACGTCGCGTGCTGCTACTGTTTCCTTGGAGTGGACGTCAAAGATTTTCCACGCGTTGTAGTTCTTTTCGATGCCGAGGTGTAGTCCCCACTGTGCGCGTTGTGAAAATCGGCCCGCTCGTGCTGCTGGGGGTCGGTACTGTACCATGCATCCGAACACTCGTAACATTTTTGTGCTGCCCTGTTTTCCTGTCCACAGCAGATGCGGTGATGCGTTGTTCGGTAGTGATGAAGATGAGAGCAAGTTGTGCAGCATGACAGCGTGGTCCATCGCGTCAGGCCACTGGTGGTTGGGTAGCCGCATGCCACGCAACAGTTTGCGCATGCTGTTCTGCAGAGTCCTGTTCATTCTTTCTGCTACACCTTGCTGCTGATGGGCGTAGGGAAGAGAGAGGAGCTGCTTGATTCCCCTTTCCGCCATGTACTGCTTGAATCGCTGAGAGGTATATTCTCCTCCTCCGTCAGACTGGAAGCTTTTCAGCTTTACGCCCGACTCTCTTTCTGCTACTGGTAGCCAAGCAGCGAATGCTTCGAGGACCATGTCGCGGCTGGGTAGGTTTAGATGCCAGACGTAACGGGTGGCGGCGTCGATGAAGGTGATTGTGTAGTTGTATATTACTTGTCCTGGTTCCCGATTGTACAGGATGTCGCTATACACCTTTTCGAGTGGTGCGTACGCGGGTGTGCTCGGGTTGTGATGAGGAGTGAACGGCCGATGTGGTAAGTCGGCTTCGGGGCAGGTAAGACATGTTCCTCATGCCCGTTGAAGTTCTCTGCCGTCGAGTAGTAGTAACGAGTCCTTGTCAAGGACTCCTGCTCTTATTGTGTTGTTTAACACAGTGTTGCTTGGGTGTCCCATGCGTGCGTGCCAGATGTCTTCGGAGGCGCGGTGTCCGGGTGAGCGTCGATACGCGTCGGAGTTGGAGTAGAAGCTGGCGGTGAAGTTTGCGCTTCTATGGACTTCCCGTTGGGCCGGATTCAGCTGCTGTGCGGGTGTTGGTGGTGCTTCGTCAACGAGGAGTGGTGTCGTTGTTGCTGCTACTGTTGTTGTTCCTGCTACTGCCGATGATGTCTCTGCTGCTGCCGATGATGTCTCTGCTGCTGCCGATGTTGTCTCTGCTGCTGCCGATGTTGTCTCTGCTGCTGCCGATGTTGTCTCTGCTGCTGCCGATGTTGTCTCTGCTGCTGCCGATGTTGTCTCTGTTGCTGCCGATGTTGTCTCTGCTGCTGCCGAATGTTGTATTGTTACTAACGCACGTGTTCGTTCTGCTTCAGGAATGGTATGTGAATACCAAAAGCCTTCCGGACTGAAGTCGGGGTCGAGATCCGGCGGGTGCGTCCAAGATGTGAAGGTGACGATCCCGTCACTGTCTGCGGTGCCCAGGTCTGGGACGAAATCGAGAACGAAGACATTGTTCTTCAGGACCGCCTTTCCGATGTAGAGGCCGCCCTTCCCGTGGTACAGCTTGAACTCCTAGGTGGTACTGTCGGCTTCCAGATGTA